ACATCACGCCACATTTCTGCCAAGCAAACAAAAAATATTTTGTTGGAGGAATACTAAAAACAAAAAAACAAGTTTCTCTTTTTGGTTTTGTTGACCCACACAGCACTTGGAGAGTGTAATATATTTACAGTGGCGGTGGCATGATTCACGCAAATTAAATGTATACATATATCTGCAACCAACGTGGCCAATATGCTGATCAGAGGGAAAGACAGTCATTGATAAACAAAATACCTACATACATACATATGTGCATCTGTAACTAGTATATATGTACATTTACCTACACATTAATGTAAATTAATATGAGTACGTATAGTATATTTTACAGTATGCACTTGAAAATTGTTAAGCCTGTTAATATTACAGCACATTTTCTCTACCTCTACTATAAATTGTCAGCAGTATGGCCCGAAAATGCCAAACTTCAATGGAGCGTGCATTTTTTTAATATTTATTGCATATGAAGATAAGAAATCTTTTGAGCTACATGCAATGGGTGTAGCTTTAGCTCTCTTCCAGCTTAATGCGCTAAATTCAAGAAAAATATTGTGCGTGTTATTATGTACATTATTTTGTTTATATGTTAGTCAGAAGAAATTCCTTGACTTAGTAGTCTTTTTTCTCTTTTCTCTTACTACACTAAGCGCTTATGTGTATTAATTACTCATTGTCTTGACAAAAATTCAAACTTATCAGTTAATTGCAGCTCAAATGTTCGTTAAAATTATTTCCTATCGTTAATTTAAAAACGATGACATTGAATCGATATCTAAAATTAATAAATTCCTTAGGTTAACGAATCTTAAGAAATTAATCTAGTGTTAATTATCTGTAATACTAGGTTCACATATAACTAGATTATCCTCATTTTCCAGCTTAACTCCCTAATCTGTAATTATAAAAAGAGATTAGCCATACAAAATTCGTCCCTAGCTAATCTGTAACTATAAAATAATCTCGGATTTAACCGATAACTTTTCGGTGTCCAACCTGCTTTTATCGATTATTTTTGCGAAGAAGAGGAGAATTGCCAAATGTAAAAGTAAACAAAAATGGACGCTGGCAAGGAAAAGAGGTTTGTAAAGGTATTTTTAATAAAATATTAGGTTAAAACATATTTAAACTGCTTTGTATAGCAGAAAAAAGTGATCACGGTGGCACAGAGAAGAAACATAACCTTTCAGCTGAAATTAGTCGAGAACGCAGAACGTATACTTAAACGCAGTCTGTATACGCAGAATTTTGTCGATTACTGGAGCCCTCAGTGTTGCTTACTACACTGTTGCCACTCTTCAATGCCTTTTCATAATCTTACCCTTTCAACCACAATTTTTCGTGCTATAATAGATTGTAGCTAAATATAAACTACTTAGTTTTCAACAAAAACCTTATTTAAAAGTAAATTTCAAATATTTTAAACATATTTTGAATAGGAACTTATAACTTTTTTACCATCTGCAAAACTGACGAAGTGGCAACCATCTAAAGAAGGAGAAATCAGCTGACACGGAAGAATCTAAATTCCGCAGATTTCTGCGCTACGGGCTACAACTACAGAAAAATTCTGCGGTGTTGAGTTTTCATTTACATGGCGCTTTGGTAAGACAGATGGTGTCAGCTGACTCGGGTTTACGTACCGGTAGGGTTACGTTCTTGACTAATTTCAGCTTTCCTTGAGATGAGAGAATAACAAGCGCAAAAAATTTGACGGCTAATAATCTGAGATTTGCCTGTGTAAACGGGGTGATTAAAAACGAGCTTTGATTGCGATAATATTTATATGTGAACATATTTTTAGAAGCAATTTAGGTTAATCTAAGTACTGAACACATGTATATATATATATTAACGAGCGAGCCGAAGGTGATGATGCTAGCGCTCCTTTTTCCGGTAAAGAAGTGACCTTCATTTCTTTTCCTTTAATAATAATAATAATAATAATAAATCACGCGCCTTTATTTAAACCAAATAATGTACTATTGAATGCTATTAAGGAATTAGCATTGCTCTCGCTACAGCATAAGACTTTTTCGACTAACTATAGAGATTTTCGGGGTGAGAGATGCCTATACTCTCAATATATTTATATGTATATTTATTAGGTATATATATATGTACATAAATTTATGAAGGTCTCTCCAATCAAACGTTATTAATAGCAATTCTTAAATATGTAAGAATGTACATTTACGCACGCATTATGCACATATGTATGAAAATTCATAAAATTGCCTCTCGATATTTAAAATTAGTAGCAGCTGATAAAAAGTGTACTGGCTATAGATAACACACGAGATTTTCAATGTCACTGTAAACTTAGCACAAAAGCGATTGCCGAGTTATTTTATACTGGCGCACACTCATAAATACATATGTATGTACATACCTATTAACTAAATAGTGTTTAATTTTTGTTATGAAAGAGAGGGCTGATTGTTTGCATAGAAGTGTAAACAAAACATTCTTATTTTTAAAGCAAAAACTATGACGATAATGAAAATTGAAGTTGCTTTATGTGGCTCGGGAGACGTGTTGTTATGCGGGGTGTGAGGGATGTGTGTTGTCTTGCCGCCATTGGCTGTGCCGTAAGGGATGTCGCAATTAGGGTTTGCGACCGAGCAGCGCAACACGGGCCCTCGAAGTTGCGTGGTCTGTTGTGCTGTGTTTTTTTTTTTTATACAAGGAGAAAGCATCGAAAGCCTGTACCAAGTAGTGTGGAGCTTTAATCCGAACTAAAACTCCCTGTATGCCCGCTGTACCGTATCCCCCCGCCAGTCACAAGTTGCATCTACTTGGCACCAGCCTCAGTTAGTACTATTGTTTTGTGATGTTGTAGTGTTTGTGTTGAGCTGCTCAGGTGGACTCCGGTTAGCGGTGAAGGCTGCTCTGTTTGAGCAGCAGGGGCCACAAATGATGTGGTCACTGCCGATGGGTACGTAGTCCTGAGCAGACTCTGAGGTGATTCCACCCGTCGCAAGCATTGCACTTGACTGAGGTGGAGTTGTGGTGTAGTCGTCTCTGGCATACACAGCAGGTGTAGGTTTCTGGCCCTGGATTTGACTCGATGCCAGCCCTGAGCAGAAGAATACGTAGCAAATGTAGCCCTATGGACGAACAACTTCTGAGATACTTCGCCGACCTAAACGGGGTTAGATCGCCGAAACAACAGCCCTTGGGCGTGTAAAACCCAGACAGACGGGGAACAGACTTGGCTGAGCAGATAAACGATTCGACATTCTGCACAATGAACGACGACGCAAAACACTGCACTTATGATAGCGACTGGATGCCTTCTGATGTCAACAGAACACCATCTGCACGACGAGGCGAAAATGCAATAATATAAAGGTATGGTTATTGTGCTTGACACATGAAAGCAAAATATTGAAAAATAGGGAAATCGGACTAAAATTACGGCCGCTTTTCATATCAACTGCCAGTTCGAAAACGCCCTATCTCAAAAGTTTTCACGAACGCCCTAATTCAGAATTTTATTGAAAAACACCCTATCTCAGAATTAGGTTGACGAACGCCCTATTTCAGAATATGATTCAAAAATGCGCTATCTCACTTCAAAATATATTGAAAATGTGCTGATATAGGTCGTTTTTAAATCGAATTCTGAAATAGGCGTTCTTCAACCTAATTCTGAAATAGGACGTTTTCGAAACGTTTTTTGAGATAGGGCGTTTTCGAACCGGCTGACGAGATAGGTCGATCTTCCACTCAGCAGCGATATAATAATAAATTTCACAAATCCTTGAAACTTAAATATTGCGAAATTAAGGACGCCAATTTACTCAAAAACGATACACCCCGGCTTACCATGTAGCGGCAGCTTTCGGAAAGGTGAAAAATATATATTTAGTACTTGCGCCGGGTATTTAATGTTCGGCTCCGCCCGAACGTAGACTTTCTTACTTGTTTTATTTTATTTTTATGTATGTTACCGCATAACTTTGGACCACGTTAATCGAATTCTATAATTCTTTTTTTTTTAAGGAAAGGTGTTACCCCACAGGTGTTCCCATAATAATTAGATTTAAATCCGATCGTTGGATCATGAAGAAATTAACGATAATCTGAAATTTGTATGTATATGAGTGCTGAAGTCGCTTTTGGTTTTTGCTTAAAAATCATTATTTTAATAAAAATATGTACATAGAGTAAAAACTAAACAATAAAATTCTATGGCGACATAACCTAAAAAACTTAAAATGCACAATAAAGTAGTGGAAACAAAGTAGAAGGAAATGCACCACGTCATGCACTAAAAATATACCTACACATATTTTTACGTATTAATATTTATGAGCGCCTAGCATCTGCAGTTTATTATATGCATACACAGAGTTGATGCATATATCTATATCATGGAGCGGAAACACATGATTTCGTTTCGTGAATACACAAAAAATTCGTGCATGTACATATGTATATGTACATACATACATTATGTACTTTATCACGGAAGTAAGCGTAAAAATATGAACAAAAAATATAGCATAAGCAAGGAGAGATTTTGAAGAAGTACTTAAAATATCTGAAGCCATATCGAATGCGCCTTGGGCACAGATGTAAATGTACAAGCACTTGACATAGTGAACTCCCGTCGAAAAGCGGCAAAAGTAGAGTCATTTCGGATTGTTGCTGCTTTTACGCTAACGTGTCATAAGGCCAGCCGTGTTAACTGTTGTAGTCGATTCGGCTTTTACACATCATTGCTGTTTATCATGTTTTCAAACACATGAGCCTTTTCTCAAAAGATGAGTATATAATGGCTGGCTGGCTGGAAATGGAGACACGCAAATATTCATACAAGTGAGAGGCAATTTTGAAGATACATAGGTGAAAATATGGGTTACTGAAATTTAGCTCCTCACTGCAGCATAGTTTAATGTAAGAGTATGCACGAAACTAAACATATATAATAATATGTAGATGAATGTACTTTGTTTAACCTATTGTATCTCATTCCAAGTTTAATTTTTACATACCTGCTATAGTAAAGCGATCCATATAGTTGATTAGATTCACAAAGCACAGCACCACCACCGTAAACCATTGTGTCTTTGTGATTCCGGTGGTTGGCCGTTGTACAACAGCGCTATCCGTGTCTGAAGAAGGAGGCATTAATTGCTGCGATGAACAGGTGGCGGGTAGACTAGCCTCCACGGAATTGCTATCGGCTTCCACATCACCACTGGACCCTGAAAGTGCTGGATTGTCCATTCTTGTGGTTATTGGCATATAACGAGTCGACGATTGTGAAGACATTCACGTGGAGTTTCTGCAAAAATTCCAAACACAGCCCCAATATTGAACCGCGCACACACGTACACCGCAGCAATTACAATTTATGCTGCTATAAAAGTATTTTTTATAAAATTATGTTATTGAAATCAGATTCAGCCTGCTTCCTGCACTTTTTAGCGGTCTTTGCGAATTTGTATTGTACACACACACGTCCGTTTGACGTTCCGCTGCACCGGTTGCTTTAGCTAGATTTTGCTTTGGATCGAGTTTCTTTTTAGTGGCCTTGATTTGTTATTGTATATTTCTCTGCCTTAAAATAGCGATTTATATTATTTAAGCAGCCTTGGTTTATACGTCCCACAAACTTATATTTTACACAATTTTATACTTTTTTCCAAAGAATTCCAAGTAAATTTAACAAAAATAAACTCCCGCAAATGGCTTTACCGTGATAGTATCCCTTGTTAAAAATTTACAACCAAACGCGAGAAATGTGAGAAACAAACTGCCGCTGTAAAATGAGAGTACAACAATTTTAGCGAATTCTGATTGGAGCTGAGCGCAGAGTTGCATTTCATTCAGTGTTGCTGGGATCGTCAAAAAAATTACCAAAATCGACAAAAGATTTAGTAACCTTTTTAACGGGTTATAAAGCTCAGTTAGTCCACACGCAAGAAGAAGAGCTTTAAGAAAGTAGATTTTTTGTGCGGGTTCTTCTCCATCCTGTTTTACTGGAAAACGAAAGCAAAGTAAACAAATCAAAGAAAACAACGATAACCAAAATTAGGGTCAGCCACATTAAACACACAAATTAACTAAAATTATTCAATAAAACTTTTTACAACGTTTACGGAGGTTTGAAGATGCGACGACCGCGGTTTAGGAGTTGCGTGGAGCAACATTTCCTGGAACTTTATGCGGGATATGGATAACAGTCTTCCTAAATTAAAATTGAAAAACTGATTGAAATGGAGAATTTTCCTTTTTGACTAGTTTAATCATAAACGAAAGACACAAGATCACGTCTTATGGAAAGAAAGAAAAAAGTTATTTTCTAGCTGTCGAAATCTCGACGCCATCTTTGTTGTAACAAGTAAATAACGAAGAGAACAAAAAAAAACCGCGTAATTGTTGAACGCATGAATAATCATTTTTATTATGCAAATTCTTCTATAAATCATGTCGTTGTGTTAAATTATTCTTTACCTTATGTGTGCACACGTTGTCACAAGCGAAAATNAGGCGCATCAATTAAATTTTGTTTTTGTACGATTGCTACAACCTGTAGTTGTTGAATCATGCGTTGTCACAAGCGAAAATTAAGAAAATTGCAGTAAAAAGCCACCACCAACTTGTAAACAACGAACAAATGTAAACAAACGGCTAATGTCAAAGTCGCCCAACTTTTTTCCTAAATGCGATTATAACGGGCTACTAAGAAGAAAGAGTGATCCAGTGATCTTGTATTTTTAGTTCATGTAGTTTAATCAAAAAATGTAGCAAAACGAAGAAAAAATTTAACCCATTTACGCCCAAACAAAAACGGTTGAAATTTTATTACATCTAATTTTATTTATGTGATCATAAAAGCTATTTTAAACAAACTTTGGAATTAAAATTAACGAAAAAAGCTTAAAAGTTAACTTTTGGGAGTGTGCTTTTTTTAGTACAGCGGGCACTTATGCGTACTAATTTTTAAAACATTATTTGACAAGGCATAACTTTTTTTTGCATCCTATACATTGCCATATTATAACCTCACGACACAAAACACAGTTTAGCTGCTTGGGCAACTTTCCTAGGTTATGTCGTTATGCCATGGGTTTCAATCTGCTACGATAGAACCGGATGGGTGCCTTTTTTTCGAAAAATGACCCTAGCAAAAGGATTGCTTAAACCATGGCGCATTGAGTAGAGTACGATCTTTTTTTAGACCACAGAGCACCCCGATTTTCGGGGGTTATTACTAGTTTTCTTTTATTTCTGCAAAATTGTAGTCTTATCGGTTACAGCGTTATTCGCGGCGACCATTGAACTGTAGAAAATACTGTGTACCAAATTAATGTTAATTAAAATGTGTATGTATGTATGTATGTATATAATTAAAGAAAATGCCCGCTTCAATTAATCCCTTGTTCAAGGGCTAGTATTAATAAAACACCGTATATTAATAAGAGCAAAACGTTCTGCAATTCTAGTCGCAGCTAAAAAAGGTAAGTACTACAACGCTGTTTTTCTAAACTCAAGTTTCTTCGGGCGATGTTTTAATAGTTATTAAAGCATTAAACAATACACGCATTGCTCTTGCTTGCTTTGCTTCACTCATTTCCGATAGAATTGCTGCTACAGTTTGACCAAAAGATTGTACAGCATTAATCCGTTTTATTGTTGCAGCATTTTCTGTGTTAACAATAACTCCTGCAGCAGGTGATTGGACATTTTGAATTTCTATTGGCATCTCAACTTTTTCTATGCAGATTTCTTCTAGCGGATTGCTTGCATCGGAAAATTCATTACTTTCACCACTTAAGATTTTGAACTTTTTTTGTGTTGCAGGAGAGTCGCTTGTGTCGGGAAATTCATTACTTTCAGTACTAAAGCTTTTGTACTTTGTTGGTGGTGTAGTAGAGTCGCTTGTGTCGGAAAATTCATTACTTTCAGCAGGAAACATTTTAAACTTTTTCGGTGGTGCAGGAGAGTTCCAACCCAGCGTCTCATTGCCAGTACTTCGAGGACTAAAAATTCAAATGTATTTATGGACATTAATACACTAATCTTTAATCAATAAAATATTAATTCATGCGTACGCTCTTGGCTTGACAAATTCTCTGAGAAAAGAAAGCGAGTTAAAATAGGGCCAGTCTACAACTACATGCTCCTTACTTTCTGAAAGTTTTTCAAGTCTCCTCAGCTCTCTGGAATAACGTTCTCGTAAACTCGTCCATCGTTTTGCGCATTCTTCCGCTATGATTCAAAAATAAATTCTATTATTGAATTTCTATTATTCTTTCATTCTATTTACATATTTATTTTATTAATCATTTATTTATTTATTTAATTATTTCTTTCAGTATTCGTTTTATTATTCATTTATTTTATTCTATTCTTATTCTTATTATTAAATGCATGTAGGTTAATAAATAGTTGAATATCATTACACTAACCTGTGGTATCCAGTTGCTCGCCGATTGCGTTCCATGCTGCCTGTTTTTGCTCAAGGCCTCTATGTCCAAAGCATTGTTTGTTGTAAATTATTTTGTGGCTCCGTACTAGTTCAATCAGCCTCTCGTCGAGCGTCATTCTAAGAAACAAAGAAGTGAACATTAACAACACATTAACGTTGTGGAAATAGTTTTGAGTTTCGTATACATATGTACATATTTTCAAAATAATATTCGTTATGTTCTCACTAATTCTATAAACTTAAAACTGTTACGAAAAGTATGTTACGTTCAGTCTACATAATTGTGTAAAATTCCATTGTGTAGGCTATCTTTGACAGATTCTATGCTATGTTGCTTGCACTAATTCACTTATTTACGTGAGGCTCTTACAATGCAAATGAACTCATATCATCAAATCCATCCTCCATTTTAATCTTTGATCTTCAGAACGCAGTAATAAATAATTATGCAATGAACTATTTTCCCCAAGTTAAATAAATACTAAAATGCTTTGGAAACAAATTAATCGAATTGTCAAAACATGCCAGCTGGAAATTCTTGCTTGTTTCTATCCTATTGTGAATGCGCCCAACAGAGATGCCATGTTAAATATACATTTAAGCAGATGTACTCAACGTCACCCACCAAACAATTTTTGTTGCCGGTAATAAGAAAACGTGTCGCCCTCGGAAACAAATTTATTGCCGGTAATATCGCCATTTTATCGATTTACTATTGCCAGTCCCTCTAAAACGTACGCCGAAGGCAACTCGTCTGTACGAATCGTTTTCTATCGCTTAAGGCGATATTTATATTCTTTTTAACACTTCATGTATTTTTTGTATACAAAATTTTAACTTAGAAACGGAATAAATTCTTTCTTTCGCTATGAGGCTTCCCATTCTTTCAATCCTGTCTTTGGTATAAATGAGACGCATTTGGATAATACTCTTGACGCGAAATTTATAAGTTTAGAAATTTTTGATAACTTATTTATTCCAAAATTGACATGTATGACATGCACCAGTATTCGTCGAACTAAAATGGGCTGTTTTTGCTTACGCGTAAAAGCTCATTTAGCGCATCTAGTTCTAAATGCTGTTCATTGGTAGTGATACAATTTTTTAAATGAAAAAATAATAACTTCATCACTTCCTTAAAATTTTAAAGCTTGTTTTACTAATCTCTTAAATTATTAGAGCATTATAATATCATTTTACTAATTTATTATTACTTAGTACAAAATGTAAACATTTACTAACAAACCCCTTATTTGATTCGGTGATAGAAACAAGACCGAAGGCTACTTAAGTATTTAAATATTTATTATGTTTATTTTATATTGCTGTACATAAGTTTTTAGATTTTAGCATTCATATTTTGGATTCATCTTATTCATTTGTTTAATTATTGTACCATTTATAATTTTCTTTTAATAAGATCAAGATATATCAAATGCTTAAATTTATTTATCTAATAACAATGCAGCACACAACCCTGAAATCTAAGAAAAATTCTGAGAAGGCCATTAATTAGCAGCACACAACCCAGTGCTTTCCTCAAGGGTGAATATAGCTACAACAACACCGATTTCTACAACACCCACCCAAAAAGGTTGTCTACTGTCTATACTGTGCAGACGACGCCGTTACGAACACAGTATATACAGTAATAAACCTTTTTGAATACTCCTCGGGGGTAAAATCTGATCAGGGTTGATTATGAGAAGGAGCATGAATTTTGCTGATTCAGAAATAAAGTTACTGGAGAGTTGCTGGCAAGTTACTGGATAAATTGTAAACAAACACAACTTTATTCTTAATTAAGCATTGATACTATACTTAACCTACAGTTTGTTCATAAATATCACAATTATAAATATTTTATCCCCGAAAATACCTTTTTCTAATCATGAGGCGAAATTCCGTGCGCGCAAAACGAAAATGCTGCGCACAACCCAAAAGTACTCCTCGGGGATCAATTGGTGAAAAACTGCGAAAAGGTTTGTTACAGTGTTACAGTGTTGCCAAGTTTTGAGTTTGAAAAAGCACTAAAACCCAAGAAATGCCGCGTTTTTTTTTCAAAAAAGCACCAAATTTGTATTGGAGTATTTAATGGGCTCTGTATGCATGAAAAGTTGTATTGTAGGGACGCCGGTTCAAATTAATAAAAATCAATGTTTCTGATGGACGGTCGAAGTTATTCTGTTTTCTATAAATTCAAATATTTTCGTTCAAGGGACGATAAGACTCTTGTTCTTATTTTCGAACTTGCAGCTGTGTCCAGCGTTGCCGTTTCGCATAGATGTAAACAAAATTTACAATTTACAATTTTCTTCGTTTTGCTTAAATTTTCTACAATTCAAAGAAATGAAGTTTCATGGAGTATGTGGTATTTTAAATCTACACTGCAGTCTCTTATGGTATTGTGAACTAAGGGAACATAAAAAACTTTTCTTACGACCGCTTAACACCTTAAATATAACGAAATTTTCCCCCTTTTTAATTTGTCTTATTTCCGCGTACTCACTGGCGCATAGTGGGAAAAATATTTTTGTGGCAAAAGAGCTGTCNGAACTTTTCTTACGACCGCTTAACACCTTAAATATAACGAAATTTTTTCCCCCTTTTTAATTTGTCTTATTTCCGCCTACTCACTGGCGCATAGTGGGAAAAATATTTTTGTGGCAAAAGAGCTGTCTACTCTTCAAATTCCCCCTTTTTGGATTATTCTCTTTTTTGAAAAGGTTCGCTAGATATTAATTTTATTGTTAGATGCTGCTGCTTTTTTGAATAGTCGTAAAAAAACATAACAAATTCAGCCCAAACTAAAAGTCTAAAGTTCCTGTTCCTAGCAATGGCGAATTACTCAATGTAATTTTGACATGATTGAAAGTGCTGCTACATATTTGTTTGGTAAACATATCGCACACCTAGATCTAAAGTGCGATCTACTCAAAAAAAGTTTTGGGCAAGTTTAATAGAAATATGTTTTTTCTTCATTATTATATACGTTAACTAAAAAACTTCTATTATACCTGTTTTGTACTAATTGCGTTTAATTCGTACGATCCACAAGCAGTTAAATTACCCTCTAGAAATTTTGAGTTAGCTCACATTAGACTAGGTGTGCAATATGCTCTCTCGCTTATGATTGTCATTGTGACTAGATTCTGTATATATTTTTATAAAGTGGCTTAAAAAACTTACGGCTGCTATAAATTTTGCCCCCTTTTTGTTAAGATTTACAGTGCACCAAGCACTAAGCTCTAAAATTTTCGCGTTTTGAATAAAGAAAAGCACTAAATTTAGTGCGAAAAGCACCAAGTTGGCAACAGTGGTTAACGCAATCACGTCGAAAGTAAAACAACTCGATACTTTTCTGCATTCATGCGCTGACATTTGAAATTACGTTTGTGGATATGCTTAACAGCTGCTTTTGAAGTGAAACTTCTTTAGCGGCGGTTGGTTGGTTGGGAGTAAGATGGCAAATTCAACGGGAATTGCAACGGAAATAGTGCAACGGAAATGGTGCAACGGAAATGGTTGGGACGGAAACAAGTGCTTCTTGAATGAGTGTTATTAATTTAACAAAAACTTGCTAATAAAAGGAAGAATAACACTTAGAAAAAGACCAATACAAGAAAGAGAAAAGGTGAGTACGTACATACATACATAGATAAAAAAAAAGCAGATAAAGGCTTCTTGAATGGGTAAAAATAAAACAAAAACAAAGATGCGTAAAGATAAAGGCAAAAATGCAGACCAAGGTAAATTTAAACCCTTTACTTATATAAGAGAAAGGTGAAGGGGAATATGTATATGAAGAATATGATAAACATAAAAGTAAAAACAAAGATAAATATAAAGAAAAAGATGAGAATGAGTATACCGATAAAAGTAAAGATGAAGATAAAGGAAGAAAGATTAAAATAAAGCTAATTATAGGGAAAAGGATATACATAGATAGAGACACAGATACTCAATCTGGGAACTATTTTAGCATTTTAGAGACTCTCGGGATTCTCGGGACTTATCGATATAATAATCGATATTTTTATCGGTTTTGTTATCGATTATTTACCGATTTTGTTTTCGATGTTTTTACATATTTTCTAATCGATATTTTTATCGATTTTGTTATCGGCATTTTTATCGATTATTTATCGTTTTTTTATCGATCATTTATCGATTTTGCTATCGATTGATTATCGATTTTGTAATCGATATTGTTTTCGATTTTGTTATCGATGTTTTTATCGGTATTTCATCGATTTTGGTTATCGAAATTTTAATATTTTTAATAGATTTTGCTACCAATATTATTATCGATTTAGCTATCGAAATTTTTATCGGTTTTGTTATCGATGTTTTTATCGGTATTTCATCGATTTTGGTTATCGAAATTTTAATATTTTTAATAGATTTTGCTACCAATATTATTATCGATTTAGCTATCGAAATTTTTATCGGTTTTGTTATCGATGTTTTGTTGGATGATACTATCGATTTTGTTATTGATAGAATATAAAGATAAAAATGAAGATAAAGGAAAACAGAATAACATAAATGTAGTTACAACGAACAGGGGTAGAGGTATGGATCTAGATGGAAAAAAGCCAAAAAATATAACCTTAAGCTAAAGCGGATGTATGTATCTATGTACATTAGAGTGGTCCAAAAAAATTAAGTCGGAATTTTAATGCCGGCATACCCTAGGAATGATCTATATCGAAAAAAATATACCCCAATTTTTTATTTTGAAATCAAAAAATAAGTAGGGAGTGCTCAAAGCGCTAAAAGTTTTCCATGTATTTTATATGGAGAAAAAA